TTGGTTGTTTAAGCATTTTGTTGCTAAGGGAGACAAAATTAATCAAAGATAGGGCACCATCATTTGAGGCCATTTTACCTAAAACCTGTCTATAAAAAGCCCATTAGATAAATGATAATCTTTATTAAACGCCATGGCAGGCCCATAAATATGTGTATTTACAAGCGAATAAAAAAGTACCTAAGAAGGAGGCTAAGAGAGAGCCATTTTTCCCTGCTGCAAAGCCTTTCTCTTTCTATTCATGAGCAAGTTAAAGAAAATGAACGCTTTATTACAAAATATTGAGTTGTTTCTGCTTGATACGATAACAGTGACATTAAAAAATTTGATGAATGTTCTGGTCCTCGATGCAACCAACTTCAATGCTGACGGGAGTGATGATTCGGTCATGAATGGAGTAAAAACAGAATCGGTCCCGGTCGCTTTTCTCCTATTGTAACTGTTCTTTACAAATTGATGCCCATTCTCCAATCCATCTTCACCAGATGGCCTATTAGTCTCTCTGTTCTATATTAATCAAATAATAATCCATTTTATTTGACCAAGTCTATCACTTGCTTTGGTAGAAAAGCCAAAAAAACTATTCGTGCGAGTGAAACCGACCTTTTGAGACAAGTAATAACGACATGCAAAGCAATATGACCAAATAAAATGGGCCGCTTTGCTGCCGAAAAGCTTAGGTCATGATGAAAATTCCCTGTACCCACCATCTTTGTATTCTCTCTCCACTCCGCTCCCAGAGCCGTCAGCCGCAGAAACATAGACGCCGAAATAGGGCGAAGTGTAGACAAGGGTTTTTCTCCCACCATCCTGTTGGTTGAAGAACACGACGGCTATACAACGGGCTTTGACGGCGTCTTCAGTCCTACTTACACCGTCAGTTGGCTTGAGTCCGATCAGTTCAAGCTGGCCGCGTTGGGTGGATACTGAAACACCATCAGCCAGTCTGGTCAGTTGGGATGGCTGGCCGTAGCCATCCACAGCTTGCCATCCCAGCTGGTCTATTATTATGCCGCCTATTGCAGTAGGCAGCACTGAGACGAGAGTTAGAAAGAGTCATTTAGAAGGACGTCCGTCAAGAGATGTTTGGACATTATTAAGTTGAGAAAAAAGGGGAAATAGGTTAAGATAGTCTCTTAGTCTAATAAGAGTTTTGCATGATTACTATTTCACAAAAAATCAATTTGTGTTCGGAATGGAGTGTATGCAGATGAATGGGCACAGGGTTTTGAACTAATTTGGAGGTAGCCAAAAATATGTTATACATACTGTAAGGTATATCGTGGCAACTAATATATACAAGTTGTTTG